ACACACACACACACACACATGAAAATTAACCAAATCCTGACGTTGAATTTTTGAGCTGATTGTTAAATTCTCTGCTGTGTGCAGTTGGGTTATTGTATTACCCCAGACTTGTGGGTGAACTGTCTCAGTGCTGGTAGTAGCTGTGATGCAGTTTGTGATCTACCTGTCACTCTTGTTTACTGAACGAAATAAACGCTCATTTCTGTATAATGAAGGACTCCATGACTAGAATAAAACCATCTCTCTCGCTCTTTTTCTGGGTGGTTTTCAGACTCTCTTTAATTATAATAGTCTAATCTTTTCATCCCATAGAGCTTAAAGAGATGCACGTGCATGCAGGTGTTATCACTAATAAGGGACTTAAAACAGATCTGCATCGACACTGGTGTCCAGGAGCTGCGATAGAGTGAAAAAGTTCATCAGATGTTGAAGTTAACTTTCTCCATTGTAAAGGAAAGTGCATTGAGGTGCTCCAGAGACTGGACATACATAAGGTGGGAGTGTGGCAAACCAGTTTGCTTGGCTCTTAAAAGGGTATTTTGCAGGCGGAACGCAGCAAGCAGGTGTGGGGCCGAAGAATTTCTCTGGCCAGCTGTGTCTGTCGGGGCCGTGTCTGAAGTATAGACTAAAGAGATAGTATAAAACATGCATGGCCAGCTTTTACTTAATATCTGCTTTCAATCTGAAGCGGCATTTATATCCTGGCTGTAAACTGGGTAAACCTATTACTGCTGTCGCCATGCCAAAATAGCGCTATAAGTCTTAGGCTGGTGTGATTTCTTACACTGAGAGCGGCCATGTTTCGCCATAATCCCTGAATTTAGCGCTGTTGTCCCAACAAGGGCAGTGAATTCCTTCCGTGGTGGTTTAACAGAGTTTGAGCACTTCTTGCTGTGGAAAAAAATCCAGGAGCCTTGGGGTTGCAGATGTGTCTTCTATCTGCTCAGTGCTGCTGACTGAGAGAGCGCTGAGTGCTGCCGGCTAGCTGGTTGTGTTACCTGTGGAAGCTCCATATTAAGATCTTAATAAGCTAAAAATCTTGAGCTTTTTATGCATAGTTGATGCTGGTGTGGGTTGGGGGAATAGACTAGATCTCCAGTGATTCCTTCCTATGTGCGTTCCAGCTATTTCTGTCCTTGCATGTTTTTACAGGATGTAACTTCAGCTTCTGCACAACTGAGGCAATAACCCTTGCTTGCCCTGCACTGCCCTATTTTTTCCTCACTAGAACCGTTCCATCGATCCCTGGGATTGCATATAGGGTTGCTTCTAAAGAACACGGTAACCTTTAAAGCTGAAACTCCATATATTTCTTCAACTAGATATTAGAGCCTTATTTTGAAAAACTGGAAGCCTCTGATCTGCTGCTTGCCAAGGGTAGGTATGGTCTGAAGAGCATACCAGCTACCCTGACGGGGCAGGATAAACTCCTACACACTAATCTACAACATATTGTTTAACAAAATGTCCTGTCTCCATCTTTATCTGTTTGGAATGGTCTTAACAGCTGTTTCCTGTTTGCTTGGCACTTAAGGCTGCTCTGAAGCATTTTTCTATTTTTTTTCCTCAAATCGGAGGTGCTGGGGGCAGTTCAGTTACTCCAACTCAAAGCTGTCGGTCAGATGAACTGTAGCTCTTGCTTGTGTCTGCTCTTAGTCCGTTCCCAGGAAAGGTGGAGTCAGGGAAAGCTTCCAAACAGAACGGGGTAAAAAGTGAATCACCATCTAGGGTCATATGTGAAATATTAGACAAGATAAAAATATCTCTGTTAACAGTTACTTTAAGCATGGTAGCTTAAGCATTTGGTGATCTGCAGTGGTAGCAGGGTAAAGAATATTGTAAAATCCATAAATCATTATACAGATGTGTGTGGTACTGGCTCATAGGAAAGCAGTCAAGCTGTTAAGCAGTAAGATGCAGCAACATCCCTGCTCTGACTCTGCGTACAGGAGAACAGTCAGGAAAGCAAAGGGAAAAGGGCATCGATGCCAGAGCAGGAGTTTCCAGAGTTGGGCTAGTTTTTTTATTTATGTACTTACTTATTTCATTTTTCTAGCCCAGTCTCTAGGTGAGCCGGACAGAAAAAATACATACAAGTCAGTGCCCATCTGAATGAGTTTATTCAGAAAGAAAGCAAATTTGTAACAGGATTAGGTCACCTCTGCAGCAGACTGCAAAACTTCAATAGGCTTTTCTCCCTCACAGTCCTGGACTAGAACACCCAATAAATATTTATTCCATTTGTAACAATAATGCTCTGTATTAAATCACAGCCCTGCCCATTACAGTTATTTTTTTATGATACAGACTATGAGCAGCAAACACTGCAAAAGGCTAGTCTTTTCAAGGAATATACAGAATATTACACAGATATACTATGTACACAAACCCATGCAGCTAGGAGCTTAGGAGCCCACAGCGCTAGTGTTGTGCCTTGAGTCATATGTTGTGCCAGTAACAGATGAAAGGTGCTTGCTCAAAAAAAAAAAACAGCTTCATCTTCCCTGGTGGGTTCAGAGGAGAGCACAGATTTGTTTCATTTATCCTCTTTTTCAGTTGTATATGGAAATCACCATGCACCTTAACTGGTTTTATCTGCTTTTGGTGGTAGAAGAAAAACGCCTTCTACCCTGCTGACAAAAAAGGAAGAGACAGAGACACAGAGAAAGGCATGAATGGTGTGTATATAACTTTTGCTGTTGTTGCCCAAACCCAAAAAGCAATACTGTGTTCCTGTGCTTGCATCTCTCACATCCTGATAGACTACTACTGAAGCAACGCATGCTTCTAAGGCACTAGCCTAGGCTTAGTGTGTTTGGCTCACACAGCTATATGAAAGTCAGGTCCCTTTAAGCACCCCAGCAGTTCTCCTTCAAGGTCCATTGCTAAAACTGCTAACCCAACTAAGAACAGCAGGTAGGTCTAGCCTGAAACCAGGACTGAGTAGTAAGCTATCCACGTGCAGTTCACTTTGACACATGCCTTAGGTCAGAAGGTGCCTTGCACACCCGAGGGATGTGCGTTGCTGCCACTTGCCAGCACCTTTTGCTCTCTTGTTAGAGATAATGCATACCAGGCATTTAAGCATAGGGCAAAGGCTGTTAAATTCTACCCACTTGTATCTAATGTGCTCAGCTAGCATGTTCCTTACCAAAATGGGAGAAAAGGAAATTTAAGTAAGCCAGATGGAGAGCCAGAACCCCACAGTCCAGAAACTCAAAACAAAGCATGTTTATTAAGTGGTTTCCTTTTACTCATTTCTCCCCTTTTTAATAAATAAAACCTTCAGACACATACAAGTGAAACACATCATCCTTCAAAGTGCAGTTACATTTCCACCCCACTCCCAATCATCCACATAAAGCTTTGTCAAGTAACCAAAAAGACTCAAAAGGCAACCCTAGGTCCCTTCCCCCTAGCTAATGAGACTAAATGTTTCTGTAGTGCTGCCTAGGTAGCCGGAAGCCTGCATCTTTTGGCTGTTTGAGAGTGGCAAGGCTGGTTTCAGAGACAGTACACGAGGCAGACTGCAGAGGAAAGTGGGAAGTTTAAGATACATAGTGTGCAACAAAAACAACCATTTAGAACCCAAAGAGTTTGTTACCAGAGTAAATTACTCTGGGAGCCTTGGCAGGAACAAGGCAGACTGCAGTCATGACTGATGGAACAGAGTCACTGCTGTGAAGCTGGCTGCCAGCAGCAGAGTCCTGATATAGGCTGGGGGATACAGGAAAAGCAATCAAGTAATTCTGCCAGAAGTCATGGAATCCCCTTTCCCCCAACCTGCATCTGGCCCAGGGGAAATGCTGGCCCAGCTGCCTCCTGCGAGCGCTTCCAGTCAGCCTGTACTCTGAGCACACCAAGTAACAGAAGACAGGGGAGGGAGGGAAGATGAGGTCTGATGCTTGAGTTCCATCTGATGCAATCCCTCTTTCCTCAGGTCTTTAAAGCAGGTACCTGTTCTGACCAAGGACACTGGGCAGAGGTACAGGGCAAGTACAAGTCAGTTTAAGTCCTTACAGGCTCATAGAAAATGGCTGTAAATAAGATTAGTGTCACTTAAACCACCATGATTTTGACCTCATCATTCTCATCAGCACGGTAGAAGAAGGGAATGCAAGGGTTTTCTGGCAGGGAGCCCAGCCTCTCCTGAGGGTTCTGGATTTCTCTGAGAAGCTGCATTATTTGCTTTGCTGTGGGGTCCTCTTGGTCTGGCTGAGCAGCTTTACTGTCAATAGGGGAGAAACTGGATTGATGAAGAACAGCAGCCTCTTGTTCTGGTTCATCCGATAAATTCACTTCTCGTAATCCTGTAAGGAACGCAGACAAGGCAGGAAGGTAATGCTTCCCCATTTGTACACAACACCAAAACCTCAGGTTATTCTATTTTGTAACTCGTTCTGGATATCGCTCACCTCCATCAGTAGCATTCAGTTCAATGCGCCTCTCCACTGGAAGCATACTTTCATTCTGACTTGCTAACAGCTCTGGGTTCTGAGCAGCTGCCACATACTTGCTGTACCATTCATTTCTTTCCCCAACCAGACGCATCACCAAGTCCTGCAGCTCCAATAACTTCACCTGCACCAAGGTAAAGGAAAATCTTATGAAACATGCACATCCCTATGGCCACAGAAACTATGCAACACCCTCAGCCTGGCCAGGCATGCTTGCTGCCATTTCCAGGTCAGCTGTGCTCAGTTGCAGGCAGATTAGATCCCTCCACAAACAGCAGGGGCTAGT